CCTAATTCACAATTCTGTCTCCAGCAGTATTTACTCTTGCAAGCTTAGTGGAATTGGTGGAGAGGTGCAGAGACTATGAAGTTGACCAAGAATATAAAATCCCGACCTTGCCGACTCCAATGCACCTTTCTTTCTCGCATGTCACCTAACACTCACCTAGAAAGCACAGCACAAAATGAATATCCACTGGTCAGCTGATTAAAAAGCTGTTTTAAGAGTCAGAGAACAACTCCCTTCTCAGAGGTGATCTCTCTACCTCCGCATCCTTCTGTGTTCCTACAGGCTCAGTTCTAGCCTCTCTCAAAATGTAAGCTTCCCACATCCCGGTCCTTCGGGGGTGGGGGGTGGGGGGAAGTGTCTCAGTCATCACAGAAACTCAGGGCTCTGTAGGTGCGGAACCGTGTTCACCTTAGCTTCTGGGGGAAAGGGGATGGAGGTGGGAGGGCAGGGGTTGCGCGTAACTGAGGTCATCAAGGTGGGGCTAGGTCCTTGGGAACTGGGTAGTAAGCCGCAGCCAGACCTGCCCGTTTGCCATGTCCGCACCCACCCGAGGAAAGAAGAGCCAAGTGTCCCACAGGGCACAACTCCGGAGCACGCGTGCAGAGTCCAGCGAAGCCACCTTCAAAGCGGCCTCAGCCCCCCATTCCAGCAATAGGAGGCGGAGGGGAAGATGGGCAGGATGCTCTCGCCTTACCAGGGTGTCCTGCCCTCCATCCTGGCGCTGGGCCCGTCCTCCTTCCAGTCCACACTGGGAATGCTAGGGCCGGAGAAAAACCCTAGAACAAGCAAACCAAGTAGAACTCGATCTTCCACCAGAGGACGCCTGGGGGCGGGGCGAGATGTGGGGGCGGGGCCGAGGGCCTGGAGCCACGGAAGAGCCCCTTTCACCTCTAGACTGGGCGTCTTGTCCTCTCTCTACACTTCCAGTCCCGTTTCGGATTACTACCAGTCGCAAGGCTCCTAGGCTGGCTTCCTGAGAAAACTCTAATAGCCTCCTGCCCCTTCGCAAGAATGCATTACCTAGTGCCACGGTCACGGTTGCCGTCATAGGCACCCTCAACCCCACCCCTGGCCTGCCCGCGGTCCCTCTCTCTCCCCACCCGCACCTGCCCGTAACCAGCAAGCTCCCTGGGCCCGCAGGTGTGGACAACGGCGGGATTCCACGCCCCGCAGAGGCCCACCAGCTCTGGGGAGGGCAAGGGGAGACGTGATCCAGGGCCGCCCCCAGGCTGATGTCCCAGGTGCGTCCGAACCCCTGAGTCACCGCTAGGCAGGACGCTAATGGCCTGGGAGGCCCGCGGTGCCAAGCCGGGGTGCCTCCTTGGCTTCCCCGTCCAAGTCCGAGGGAGGGAGCGGGATTCTAACCCTTTGGGGTCCTGCTGCACCACTGCTTCTGCACCTCTCTGCAAAGCTCTTCTCTCATTCCGGATCCCTGAAACCCTTAGAAGCACAGCTGCTGATTCTGCTGTGTGATTCTGCCTGCTTTTAAGAAATATTATGGGGATGGGGTGGGGGGTCAGCTGAGTTTTCTTGAATAGTTATGGTAAACTTTGAGGCAAAAATTTAATCTCAGTCGATGTCCATGGAGGAGTGGCCTTGTATGGATATGGACCTGTCGTTCAGTAGTGTTTAGATTGTCCTTAAGAACGTCTTCCACTTCCACTTTCAATTTCCCTTGAAATTCACTTCCATAGAATTTAAGTTACTATTTATTACTGATGTGATATATGAAGGTCCACAGATGGTTTCTTGGTGAGAAAGGAAACCCCTGATTTCTATGCAATGTTGAGTTGAACAATTTAGCAGTATAAAGTATGTTTCCTGCCTGCCCTGAGGGAGGGTCAGTGTGATAGTGACCAAGTCAGTTGACTATTGGAACCAACTGTGCCCTTCTTTTCTTTCCAGTCTGTGCCTTTCAAGAAACATGGAGGTAATTCATGGCAGGCCCTACTGTTGCAGAGAGCTTGAAGGAGCTGACCTATTGTCAAACACCTTTTACTCTAATGAATTGCACACTCCATTACAAACAGCTACTCGCCCAACTGCCTCCGAGGACAGGTAAAACGTAATTACAAAACGTTACAAAACGTAAATAATTACAAAGGGCTTTAATATATTAGTTTATTTTTATATGTGAGGAAAAAAAACACTCAGAGGGCTCTTCTGTTTATCACAACTTAGGGATGGCATAACATGACAATTAACTCAACTGTAGTGTCCACATCTGTTAGAAACTTGATCAAAAGTAAGTTGGTGTGTATCTTTACAAGGCAGACATCAATTTCATTCACAACATTCTAAAATTCCAGAATGATCACTTCCTTCATTTGAAAATTAATCTGTTTTGATCAAAATTTTTATTTTATCAGGAGTAGTATAAGTGGTTCCCTATCATCCCCTGACACCATCTGTTCAAAAACACTCCCAGAATCCGTTGTTCAAGGTTGCCATTTAAATCTTTGCTTCACCAAATTTCCTGTAACACACTAATTACAAATTATTATTTAAATTGCATCTAACGTATGTTGATTGATTGCTGTTTATGGACACTGTACCAAATGCTTTGTATATAGCGATTCTTTTAATCCTCACAACAACCCTATGAGATAAGTACTATTATTTTCACCATTTTACATATGAAGCAACATGTGCAAACAAGTAATTTTCTAAGATTTCAGTGCCAGCTCTCTGTATTGTATTTATTTGAATCATTTTGAGGAAAAAGAAAAAATCTTAAAACACTTCGATGGTTTAAAAAAAAACAAAAAAACAAAACAAAAAAAAACGCCTGTATGGTTATTTTGTTCAGTTTGGTTTGGTTTTATTTATAATTTCACTTGATCAAATCTCTCGTTTAAGAATTCCTTCTTTAAGAAATCATTCAGAAAGCCACCCAGCCTCATTTTACACTTCCAAAATGGGACATCACTACCACACAGGCAGTCCATCCCAATTTTGAATGCTATTGGTTATCAGATAATTTATTTCTACTGAGGACATTTTTCCTCCTCATAATTTCTACCTGCTGACCCTGGTTCTTCTCTCCATGCAAAATAAGAATAATCTACCTATCATCTCCATGACAGCAGCCCTTCAAGAGTTCGAAGATCTTTTTGGCTCTGTAAGAGTTCTCTTTGCCAGGCTAAATACTGCTGCTCTGCAAACTTAACTCTTCCTTCTTGAATCTGGGCTTTCACCATCTTGATCAGACTTCCATGGATCTAATCCAGTTTGTAAACATGCTCTTTATATGAAAAAAGAAGCTTTTCTTTTCCTAATTATAAAACTAACACATTCCTCATAAATAATTTAGAAATCCTGGAAATCCACAAAGAAAACAAGTTTTCCATTTTTCTAACAACAGGAAAAGCTGTGAAATTAAAACAAAAGGAAGAAAACCTCTGTACTTCCTTTATCCAGAATAACCACCGTTAACACCATGATATGTGTCTTCTCCATTTTTTTAACTTAAAGATCATATTTAACATATTTTGTAAACTGACATTTTCATTAAATGAAAAGGAATATTTTCGTATTTGTGGGAAAGAGGACTCAGCTCACTTCTACTAAGTCAGTCCTTGCTACACATGTTCTTCTGTTCCCTGATTCCCCAAAATGGCTGTCGGTCCTAAATTCCTACTCAGCTCCAAGAGTCATCAGAATCGGACGGGCTTCCCTTGAGTCAGAGGAAACTCTTAGCAGATTGTTCATGATCTGGGGATAGACAACTGTCCCTGGCTCAAAAACAGCAACATAGAATTTTATATTTGGTCAAAAGGAATCTGAGTAAGAATTTAAGGCTGTCCTATCTGACTGAATTCACTAACAGCATGTGTATAAGGCTTTTCACTGAAATTTTTATCTCTTCTACCTAAATGGTCCTATGGTTGGTTAGTGATTGGCCCCAAAACCTTTTCAGTAGCATGAAATTTAAGAAAAGCATCTTTGTGGGGTGCCTGGATGGCTCAGCTAGTTAAGCATCTGACTCTTAGTTTTTGCTCAGGTCCTAATGTCAGTGAGTCTGAGTTCTGAATTGCGATGACAGTGAAGAGTCTGCTTGGGATTCTCTTTCTCTCTTTCTCTGCCCCTCCCCTGCTCTCTCTCTCTTTCTCTCTCTCTCAAAATAAATAAACTTAAAAAAAAAAAAAAGGAGAGAAGCATCTCTGAGAAAATATTGCTTTTTATTAACTGCCTATAAAATTAAATACAATATATGTTCAGTTACCTGCAAACTACAATAAGGTACTCCTTGAAGCAGTAGGTAGGTACAACCATGTTCCTGACTCCTAATAACTAAAATTTGCTTTCCCTTTTATTCCATATGAATTCTTTCCTATCATAGTCCCCAAATGGGAAAGCCAGGATGATCATGCATTCTCAGAACCCCCTTTTTTAACCCCCTCTTAAAAAGCAGCTGGGCAGCATACAGAAGTTCCCTTTTTCTTCTGAACTGCTCTGAAAAGTGTCATCATGGTAACATTGGAACCTCTACTCTGTCAATGCTGAGGCTTACTTCTTCAGAGGAAGTTCAGGGTCTATGGCTCCCAACTCAAACCTCAAGGTATCTCAAAGCAAAACACAACAAAAGTTCCTGGCCTTTAGGGTTTACCCTTCATAATGATAAGGATGAACATGAGTCCTAGCATATGTTAGCTCTCAGCAGTTTAGTTTTCTAAACTTGGATGTACTTAAAGGGATGCCTTTTTAAAATATCATAGTGTATTCTGAACTCCGCAATTTTAACAGCAACACAAAATGACTTCCTCACGTCAGTGTACTTTTTCTTTTCAGAATAGGCAGCCTAGCTCCAGTGTTATCCAGCACTGGTATGCAGACAGAACACATCAGAACTACCTGAGCAGCTTTGTAAAAATAGAGAGTCCTGGGCTCTGATGTGAGTCTAGGAAATCTGCATTTTTAGAAGTTTTTCAGCTTACTTGGAGAACCACTGGGCTAGCAGAAAGCACTGAAAACAGTAAGAAAACCAGGACTATGGTTGTAACTTCCCCACTGACCAAAAGCGAGTTACTCTTCATACTTTGGCTACTTTCTTCACTGGTGTATTTTAGAACAAGCATAGTAGTCACTATTATATATACTCTGACTTGATCTCTTTTAAAAATATTAATAAACAGATGGTATTCTTCTGTATTTCTTCCACTGAAAATTTAAGAATGGCTGATACTGCTATTTAGAATCATGACAGAGGTCTATCTCCTTTTTCCATTCAGTTGGCACCTCCTTATCTCTAGCAAGTTCTCTAGCTCATTAAGCAAACAAACATCAATTAGAGAAGTGCCTTGAGAATTGCTTAAGATTTCATCATTGGTTCTCATTTTGTTTCTGAATTCATTCCACTGCTTTTAGATTCTTTAACTTTTTTGTTATTGTTACTACTAGTTCTCTGCCAACTAAAAATGAGAAAATGTTTGTTCTGAGCTTCCTTTAATCATTCCTTCCAATAATTACTGGCTAAATTCAGCTCCCCCAAGTAGAATGTAATACTCAAAACTCCACAGTAACTCCAAAGCAAGATGCTGGTTCATCCTTAGGAAACACATCTTTCTCAAAAACAAGTAAACATTTAATTTTATGTGGTCACAGATTGCAGTACTAATCATTTATTATTATTTTCTTTGTTATGGAGACATGTATTATTTAAGCTTTCACATTACTTAATCCTAAAACTTCAATATTTATGTTCCTAGTTCCTTCTATACAATGCTGTCAATATTAAAGCTAAGGGGGGAAATGTGAGACCCCAAAATAAAGGAGAAACGGACTTATTTTTGCATTTGCCTTCTATTTTAAATGGATTCCTACAACTTACTGGCTTTAGATGGATACCAACCCAAATGATTGATTAACATTTTCTACTGGCTCATCTTCCTAGGACAATGTAATATATGGAGGTCAGATATTGAGAAATTGACTCATCTAATTTAAATATAACTTTTAAAACTTAGATATTAAAGCTTAGGTTGTCATTAATCAAATGTATTTAAATATTTTTCACTTGTCATGTCCTCCAAACCATGTCTACTGATCATAGCCATAAAGCTGGTGAAAGCCTCAGAGGTCTGAGAGCTGAATACCGCCATCCCTTCGACAGCACCCTAAATCAATGGTCACCTAGATTCTCCTTGACTAGCAAGCGCAGAGATGGGCAAACGTATTCTGTAAAGGGCCAGACAGGAAATACAGGTGGCCTTTGAACAGCACAGATTTGAACTGCATGGATTCACTTACATGCTGATTTTTTTCCAACAAATACAGTATGGTAATATAAATGTATTTTCTTTTCCTTATGATTTTCTTAACACTTTCTCTAGTTCACTTTATTGTAAGAATACAATACATAATACATATAACATACAAAATATATGTGTCCACATGTGTGTACACTATTACAAAATAGTGTAATCAACTGTTTATGTTATCTGTAAGGTTTTTTGGTCAACAGTAGACTTAATAGTTAGGTTTGGGGGGAGTCAAAAGTCATACGCTGATTTTCAACTGCATGAGGGGTCAGCACCCCTAATTCCCATGTTATCCAAAGGTCAACTGTACTTTAGGCTTTAAAGTCTCTGTCGAACTACTCAACTCTGCTATGGCCAAAAAACCAGCCATAGACAATAGACAATATATAATGAATGGTTGTGGCTGCATTCCAACAGAATTCTACTGACAAAAACAGGCAGCAGGTTGGATTTGGCCTATAAGCCATGGTTTGCCAACACCTATCTAGTGACTTTATGAGATAAAGCATTCCATTTATAAAAGACAGTGTTAGTTCTTCATTCCATTCAGCAGATATTTACAGGGGATTACACTAAGCCAAGTGCTATACAGGTACAAAGAAGTTCCACAGTCCATACCCCTCTCTCTGAGCTCCTCTCCCATGTTTCTAATTGGATCCTGCCACTCAGACAATACAGTCCAAAGGGCTTACAAGGCCCAGAGGCTCTGGTTCTTGTTTTCCTCTCTTGCTTTATCTCTTACCATAGCTCTTCTCTACTGTGCTTCAAATTCCTGAATTCTGTATTATCTCTACTGAT